CCAAAGCCCCCCCGGGCCCACCTTGACCCCCCGGATGCGGAACTCGGCCAGGGCCCGGCTCATCTTGGCTGCGGCCGCCGGCTGGTCCGGCCCGTGCGCCACCACCTTGACCAGCAGGGAGTCGTAGTGGGGCGAGATCAGAGCGCCCTGGAACGCCGAGGCCCCGTCCAGGCGGATGCCCATCCCCTCCCCGGAGCGGAACACCTGCGGGAGACACCCCAAACCCTTAGGGACACCCCAAAACCCTTAGGGACACCCCAAAACCCTGTAGAGATACCCCAAATCCAATGGAAACACCCCAAAACCTATAGAGATACCCCAAAACCCTACGAACACATCCACAGATCCCTCCAAACCTACGGACACACCAAGGGAAGGCCGTCCAGGCGGATCCCCATCCCCTCCCCGGAGCGGAACACCTGCGGGAGACACCCCAAAACCCTTAGGGACACCCCAAACCCTATAGAGACACCCCAAAATCCAATGGAAACAACCCAAAACCCTACAGAAACCCCAAAACCCTACAGAAACACCAAAATCCTATAGAGACACCCCAAGACCCTGTAGAGACACCCCAAATCCAATGGAAACACCCCAAAACCTAGAGAGATACCCCAAAACCCTACGAACACATCCACAGATCCCTCCAAACCTACGGACACACCAAGGGAAGGCCCAAGGGGGGGATCCGTGGGTGGGGGTCCCAGGGCTGTCCCCATCCCGGGGGTCCCGGGGCTGTCCTGGGGGTCCCAGAGCTGTCCCCGTCCTGATGCTGTCCCCATCCCCATCCTGGGGCTGTCCTGGTGCTGTCCCAGGGGTCCCGGGGCTGTCCCGGTGCTGTCCCCATCTGGGGGCTGTCCCCATCCCGGGGGTCCCGGTGCTGTCCCCATCCTGGTGGTATCCCCATCCTGGAGCTGTCCCCATCCCAGAGCTGTCCCTGTCCCCAGGGTGCCCCGGCGCTGTCCCGGGGTCCCGGTGTTGTCCCCATCCCGGGGGTCCCAGGGCTGTCCCGGTGCTGTCCCGGGGTCTGTCCGGGGTCTGTCCCGGGGCTGTCCCGGTGCTGTCCCCGTCCCGGGTCTGTCCCGGGGCTGTCCCGGGGCTGTCCGGGGTCCCGCACCTCGATGCGGCCGGTGTCGGGCTGGAATCCCCGCGCGGGGTCCTCGGTGGTGACGCGGCACTGGATGGCGCAGCCGTTCACGCGGATCCGCTCCTGCTGCAGCCCCAGCTCGGGCAGCGAGCGGCCCGCGGCCACCTGCAGCTGCGCGTGCACCAGGTCCACGCTGGGGACACGGGGACATGGGGGACACGGGGTTAGGGGTGTCACGGGACACGGGGACAATGGGGGGACACGGGGACATTGGGGTTAGCATGGGGTTAGGGGGGTCAGGGGACACAGGGACAGCGGGGACACGGGGTTAGGGGGTACAGGAGACACAGGGACAATGGGAGGACACAGCATTTTTGGGGTCCCCCCTGCAGTTTCTGGGCTGCCCCCTGCCGTTTTCGGTGTCCCCCTTCCATTTTTGGGGTCCCCCTGCCGTTTCTGGGCTCCCCCCCACCATTTTGGGCTCCTCCCCCGCAGTTTTGGGGTCCCCCCCGCGGCACAGGGACATGGGGTTAGGGGGGTCAGGGGACACAGGGACAGCGGGGACACGGGGTTAGGGGGTACAGGAGACACAGGGACAATGGGAGGACACAGCATTTTTGGGGTCCCCCCTGCAGTTTCTGGGCTGCCCCCTGCCGTTTTCGGTGTCCCCCTTCCATTTTTGGGGTCCCCCTGCCGTTTCTGGGCTCCCCCCCACCATTTTGGGCTCCTCCCCCGCAGTTTTGGGGTCCCCCCCGCGGTTTCGGGGTCCCCCCCAGTTTCGGGGTCCCGGCTCACTCGGTGATCTCCTCGGTGACCGTGTGCTCCACCTGCAGCCGCGAGTTGACCTCGATGAAGTAATAATCCCCGCTCTGGTCCACCAGGAACTCCACGGTGCCGGCGTTCTCGTAGCCCACCTGGGACCCCCGCCCCGTCAGGGGGGCTGGGCGGCCACGGGGCCCCCCAGCCCCGGTCCCGGAGCCCCCCAGGGTCCCCAAGGGTCCCCAGTGTCCTCCTGGGGGCCTTCCCGCGTTGTCCTGGTTCCTCGATGTTCTCCTGAGCCCCCAATGTCCATCTGAGCCCCCACAACGTCCACCTGAGCCCCCAGTGTCCATCCTGGTCACTCAATGTCCACCTGAGCCCCCAGTGTCCATCCTGGTCACTCAATGTCCACCTGAGCCCCCCCAATGTCCACCTTGGTCACCCAGTGTCCACCTCAGTCACTCCATGTCCACCTTGGTCCCCCAACGTCCAGCTCTGTCCCTCAATGTCCATCCTGGTCACTCAATGTCCACCTGAGCCCCGTAAATGCCCACCTTGGTCACTCAACGTCCATCCTGGTCACTCCATGTCCACCTTGGTCCCTCAATGTCCACCTGAGCCCCGTAAATGCCCACCTTGGTCACTCAACGTCCATCCTGGTCACTCCATGTCCACCTTGGTCCCTCAATGTCCACCTGAGCCCCCTCAATGCCCACCTTGGTCACTCAACGTCCATCCTGGTCACTCCATGTCCACCTTGGTCACTCAATGTCCACCTGGGTCCCTCAATGTTCACCTCGGTCACTCAACGTCCATCCTGGTCACTCAATGTCCACCTGATTCCCTTAATGTGTACCTGGGTCCCCCCAGTGTCCATCTTGATCACTCAATGTCCATCTTGGTCACTCAAGATGGACATTGGGTCCATAGTGTCCTCCTGGGGTCCTGCCCTTGTTCTCCTGGTTCCTCGATGTTCTCCTGATCCCCCAATGTCCACCTGAGCCCCCACAATGTCCACTTTGGTCACTCAATGTCCACCTCAGTCCCTCAAAGTCCATCTTGGTCACTCAATGCCCATCTTGGTCCCCAATGCCCACCTCGGTCACTCAACGTCCACCTGGGTCCCCCAATGTCTTCCCCATTGCCTTGGGGTGTCTCCAGAGTGTCCCACTGTCCCCTGGGCTGTCCCCAGGATGTCCCCAGGGCTGTCCCCAGGGTGTCCCCGCTGTCCCCAGGGTGTCACCTGCCGAGCCAGGCGCACGGCGTCGTCGGCCAGGCGGGCGCGGAGCTCCGGGGGCAGCCGCGCGGCCGGGGCGATCTCCACCACCTTCTGGTGCCGGCGCTGCACCGAGCAGTCGCGCTCGTAGAGATGGACCACGTTCCCGTGGCAGTCACCTGGGGGGCGGGAACCCCAAAAATGGGACTGGGAACCCCAAAAATGGGACTGGGAACCCCAAAAATGGGCTAACAGACCCCAAAAATGGGACTGGGAACCCCAAAAATGGGCTAACAGACCCCAAAAATGGAACTGGGAACCCCAAAAATGGGCTAACAGACCCCAAAAATGGAACTGGAAACAGCAAAAATGGAACGGAGAACCCCAAAAATGGAACTGGGAACCCCAAAAACAGAACTGGGAACCCCAAAAATGGAACTGGGAACCCCAAAAATGGGCTAACAGACCCCAAAAATGGGACTGGGAACCCCAAAAATGGAACAACCAACCCCCAAAATGGAACAACAGACCCCAAAAATGGAACTGGGAACCCCAAAAATGGGCTAACAGACCCCAAAAATGGAACTGAACACCCCAAAAGGGACCTGCACCGAGCAGTCGCGCTGGTAGAGATGGACCACGTTCCCGTGGCAGTCACCTGGGGGGCAGGAACCCCAAAAATGGCACTGGGAACCCCAAAAATGGCACTGGGAACCCCAAAAATGGAACAGCAGACCCCAAAAATGGAACTGGGAACCCCAAAAATGGGACTGGGAACCCCAAAAATGGAACAACAGACCCCAAAAATGGAACAACAGACCCCAAAAATGGCACTGGGAACCCCAAAAACGGAACAGGAAACCCCAAAAACGGAAGAGGGAACCCCAAAAATGGCACTGGGAACCCCAAAAACGGAACAGGAAACCCCAAAACGGAAGAGGGAACCCCAAGACCGGGCTGGCAGAGCCCAGGCAGGCCGTACCCAGGATCTGGACCTCGATGTGCCGCGGGCGCTCGATGAATTTCTCCACGAACAGGTCCCCGTTCCCGAAGGCGGCCAAAGCCTCCGAGGTGGCGCGGGAGAAGTTCTCCTCCAGCTCCTGCGGGACCCCAAAAGTGGCTCCCCAAATTCCAGGGATTGCCCCAAAACCCAGGGAGCCCAAATTCCAGGGACCCCCAAAACCCAGGGATCCTAAATCCAGTGACCCCAAAATTCAGGATATTTATTCCTGCCTCGAGTTCCCCCCAAACGCAGGGACCCCAAATCTTGGGGATCCCAAATCTTGGGGATCCCAAATCCAGGAATCCCAAATCCCAGGATACCCCCCCACCCCAAATCCAGGAGTCCCAAATCCAGAGTGCCCAAAATTCCGGGGCCTTCCCAAATCTGGGATCTCCACCCCCCAAAATTGCCCCAAATTTGGGTACCCCAAAACCGGGGGTACCTCAAACCCTGGGATTCCCCTAATCCAGGGTCCCCTCACCCCAATTTTGGGGTCCTCCCAGATCCAGGGTTTGGGGTTCCTGAGGGTTGGGATTGCTGCGGATTTGGGGGTCTGGGGGCGTGAGAGCTCCTGGAATTTTGGGGTTCTGGGGATTTGGGGTCCAGGGATTTGGGGTTCTGGGATTTGGGGTTGCTGGGGAATTTCATTTCCCAGAGATTTGGGACTCTGGGGATTTGGAATTCCTGAGGGATTTGGGATTTTGAGTGATTTGTGTTCCTCTGCATTGGGGGTCTGGGGGATTTGGGTTTTGGGAGATTTGGGTCCTGGGTAATTTGGATCCTGGGGGATTTGGGATCTGAGGGATTTGGGATCTGGGTAATTTGGGGTTTGGGGAATTTGGTTCCTGGGACACTTGGTTTCTGGGGGATTTGGGTTTTAGGGGAATTGGGGTTTGGGGGATTTGGGGTCTGGGGGATTTGGGTTCCTGGGCGCTGGCATTCCAGGGGATTCGGGGTTCCGGGGCTTTGGGGTCGGTACCTGGGGGGCCCGGACCACCCTCATGCCGCGGCCGCCGCCGCCGTGGGCGGCTTTGAGGATCACGGGGAACCCGACCCGGGCGGCGAAATCCTGAGCCTCGGCCAGCGCCGACACCGGCGACGGCGTCCCCGGCACCACCGGCACGCCTGCGGGCACGGCGGCTCAGGGACCCCAGAACCCCCCTGGAACCCCTGGAATCCCCCCTGAGATCCCAAAATCCCCCCTGGAATCCCCAAAAATACCACCAGACCCCAAAATCCCCCCTTCGGAGCCCTAAAATCACCCATGGCCTCCTCACCGCCCCGAGCCCCCTCCCCGGCCCCCCGGGCCCCCCACCGGCGGCGATGGCGATGGCCCGGGCCTCCACTTTGTCGCCCATCTTGCGGACCACGTCGGGCCGCGGCCCCACGAAGCGCACGCCGGCGTCCAGGCAGGCCTGGGCGAAGTCGGCCCGCTCCGACAGGAACCCGTAGCCCGGGTGGATGGCGTCCACCTCGTTCTCCTGGCACGGGGACAGCGGCTGCCGGGGGGCTCGGGGCCACCGGGGCACCCCCGAGGGCCACCAGGGCACCCCAGGGGTCACCAGGACATCCCCAGGGACCACCCGGACATCCCCAGGGACCACCCGGACATCCCCAGGGACCACCCGGACATCCCCAGGGACCACCCGGACATCCCCAGGGACCACCCGGACATCCCCAGGGTCACCAGGGCACCCCAGGGACCACCCGGACATCCCCAAGGGCTGCCAGGGGGCTCGGGGACATCGGGACATCCCCGAGGCTGCCAGGACACCCCCAAGGACCACTCGGACATCCCCAGGGACCACCGGGACATCCCCGGGGCCTCCAGAACATCCCCAAGGAACTTTGGGGCCACCAGGGCACCCCCGGGGCCACCAGGACATCTCCAGGACTTTGGGGGGTCATGGGCTGCCAGGGCACCCCCAGGGACTACCCGGACATCCTTGGGACCACCAGGGCACCCACAGGGGACACCCAGACATCCCTGGGGCCACCATGACACCCCCAGGGCTTTAGGGCCACCAGGACACCCCCAGGGACCACCAGGGCACCCCCGAGGGCTACCGGGGGGCTCGGGACTGCCAGGGCACCCCCAGGGCTTTGGGGCCACCAGGGCACCCCCAATGTCCCCTCTCTGTGTCCCCCCTCCCCAATATCCCCCTCCCAGCTGTCGCCAGCTATGTCCCCCCATGTCCCCAGCTGCCCCCAGGTGTGTCCCAGCTCTGTCCCAGCCGTCCCCAGCTGTCCCTCCATGTCCTCCTGTGTGTCCCCAGGTGTGTCCTACATGTTCCCAGGTGTGTCCCAGCTGTCCCCAGGTGTGTCCTACATGTCCCCAGGTGTGTCCCAGCTGTCCCCAGGTGTGTCCCAGCTGTCCCCAGGTGTGTCCCAGCTGTCCCCAGGTGTGTCCTACGTGTCCCCAGGTGTGTCCCAGCTGTCCCCAGGTGTACTGCAGCTGTGTCCCCCCACATCCCCAGCTGTCCCTTGTGTCCCCAGCCGTGTCCCCAGCCATGTCCCCCGTGTCCCCAGCCGTGTCCCCTCACCTGAGCCACGCGGATGATGTCGGGGATGTGCAGGTAGGCCTGCACGGGGGGCAGCCCCCTCCCCACCAGGTACGCCTCGTCCGCCTTCTGCCGGTGCATCTGGCCCGTGTCCTGCTCCGAGTACACGGCCACCGTGCGGATGCCCAGCTCCGTGCAGGCCCGGAACACGCGGATGGCGATCTCACCTGGGGGCATTGGGGACATTGGGGACACTGGGGACACCCTGGGGACAGCCTGGGGACATGGGGACACGGGACAGGAACAGGGACAGGGACACAGGGACAGGGACAGGGACACGGGCACCGTGCGGATGCCCAGCTCCGTGCAGGCCCGGAACACGCGGATGGCGATCTCACCTGGGGACATTGGGGACATTGGGGACACCCTGGGGACATGGGGACACCCTAGGGACACGGGACAGGAACAGGGACAGGGACACAGGGACAGGGACAGGGACACGGGCACCGTGCGGATGCCCAGCTCCGTGCAGGCCCGGAACACGCGGATGGCGATCTCACCTGGGGACATTGGGGACATTGGGGACACCCTGGGGACATGGGGACACCCTAGGGACACGGGACAGGAACAGGGACAGGGACACAGGGACAGGGACAGGGACACGGGCACCGTGCGGATGCCCAGGTGTCCTACATGTCCCCAGGTGTGTCCCAGCTGTCCCCAGGTGTGTCCCAGCTGTCCCCAGGTGTGTCCCAGCTGTCCCCAGGTGTGTCCTACGTGTCCCCAGGTGTGTCCCAGCTGTCCCCAGGTGTACTGCAGCTGTGTCCCCCCACATCCCCAGCTGTCCCTTGTGTCCCCAGCCGTGTCCCCAGCCATGTCCCCCGTGTCCCCAGCCGTGTCCCCTCACCTGAGCCACGCGGATGATGTCGGGGATGTGCAGGTAGGCCTGCACGGGGGGCAGCCCCCTCCCCACCAGGTACGCCTCGTCCGCCTTCTGCCGGTGCATCTGGCCCGTGTCCTGCTCCGAGTACACGGCCACCGTGCGGATGCCCAGCTCCGTGCAGGCCCGGAACACGCGGATGGCGATCTCACCTGGGGGCATTGGGGACATTGGGGACACTGGGGACACCCTGGGGACAGCCTGGGGACATGGGGACACGGGACAGGAACAGGGACAGGGACACAGGGACAGGGACAGAGCCATCGTGCAGATGCCCAGCTCCGTGCAGGCCCGGAACACACAGGCGGTGACTTCACCTTGGGGACATGGGGACACCTGGGGACACCTGGGGACACTCTGGGGACACCCTAGGGACACAGGGACACAGGGACATGGGGACACCCTAGGGACAGGGACACAGGGACATGGGGACACCCTGGGGACACAGCCATCATGTGGATGCCCAGCTCCGTGCAGGCCCAGAACACACAGGCAGTGACTTCACCTTGGGGACAGGGGGACATTGGGGACAAGGGGACATGGGGACATTGGGGACACTCTGGGCACACGGCCACCATGCAGCTCCTCAGCTCTGTGCACGCCCAGGACACGTGGGTGGTGACTTCACCCTGGGGACACTGGGGACACCCTGGGGACACCCTGGGGACACTTGAGGACATGGAGACACTTGGGGACACCCTGAGGACACAGGGACACCCTGGGGACATCTGGGGACACCCTGGGGACATGGAGATATCCTGGGGACACCTTGGGGACACCTTGGGGACACGGGGACTGGGGACATGGAGACACCCTGGGGACAGCCTGAGGACATGGGGACACCCTGGGGACAGCCTGAGGACATCTGGGGACACTCTGAGGACATGGAGATACCCTGGGGACACCTTGGGGACACTTGAGGACATGGAGACACTTGGGGACACTCTGAGGACACAGGGACACCTTGGGGACATCTGGGGACACCCTGGGGACATGGAGATACCCTGGGGACACCTTGGGGACACGGGGACAGCTGCTTGGCAACCTCAGCTGGGGCCACACGGGGTCAGGGGGGGATTCAAGGGACATCGGGGGCTCAGGGGGGTCTCGGGGG